GCTTCCCTAAATATATGGACTGTATTTATAATTGCTGTTGTAATGTCCTTATCTGCTAAATTCATCATCTCTATTATTTCTGGGTCTGTTTCTGTTGCTTGATTATTCTTCTGGTTGTGAGTCATATATTCCTGCTTAATTGTTTGCTTGGTATATGCTTATTTCATCAAGTAAATGTTTACCATTTAAAGAGGAATATAAGAAGAAGAAATAGGAGTTCTATCATGAAATTTCATCTTCATTTATACTTCTATATACATTCATATATACTTTCACTTTCACCAGCTATAAAAGAAAACAAAAACAAAGAAAAGGTCCTCTATCCATTAATTTCTTCTGCTTAGTTTAGAAGTGAGGTAGATCTAGGAGTGGCTGAAGTAAATAAAAGTAAAAATTCCTTCTCAGTACCTAAGTAATCAACATAATCAATATATTTTTTATATCTTCAACTTCTTAGTATACTGGCTTCCTGGCATTGTCATTAAAACAAAACAACAAAAGAAAACAAACAAACAAACAAAAAACCCAGAACATTTTTGAAGAGAACCCTTGAGTTAAATGTTAGACTAAAATGTTTTTGTTGTTGGTGTTGTTTGTTTGTTTTTTGTTTTTGGAATACACAGGATGTTCAATATATTATGTTAAGGTTAAAGGACACTAGGAATTAGAAGTTATGAGATTTTCTCAAACACACTGTGAGTATTGCCTCTAATATTTGCAACAAAATCCTTTTATCGTTGCTTTTTACCATTTAGCAATTTTCATAATGTGAAAACCCCATTCTTTTAAATTTTAGATGGTAAAAGTTAAGGGCTGTGTCTATATAGCATTTGTACAATATCACACACAGTTAAGTGCTCAATATTGTTTTTGATGAGCAAGAATAATAATGATTTTCTAAACAAGATCTATCAGTCTCTATGGAATAGAGAATGTGATGGGCATTTAAAGGAATGTCACACATACATCTAAGCTGTGAGAGATAGATACCTACATGCTGTCGATATTTAGGTCCTTATTTTTTCAGTTACAATTTAGTCACATTACTTTTTTCTCCCTTTTGTTTCTCATAGTATTGTATACTTTCAGTGTATACTTTCAGTCTAGCAAAAAGGAAAATGCATTTTTAACCCACTCTATTATTTACCTTTCAGATCTCATGTTAAAAATTTGGTCTATCCTTTATCTTTTCTGTTCAGATTATTCATATATACTCAGAGTTTGCCTTTTGTTATGACCCAATATCATAAGATTAAACAATTTCCTTATTATTTTCATGAATTAATATGTAATGAACAAATCTAGTCATCCCTCAGAAGGTATACTAATAATTAAAAAATTAGAACAATTTAATTATGCTTGTGCACATTAGGCCATAACAAATTTTTAGAAAGTTCTTATTCTTATGGAATTTCAGTTTTATCTTCCCTACTCCTACCTTGACCTTTCTACTTGTTTCCTTAGCTGTATACATAAGTGTCCATCATGGAACTCATGGAACATTTGACCATATTGAATAGTGGTTAAACTCACAGCATATGGAGCTAGACTCACAAGGTGTGTGATTTTGGGTGCATTATATATATTTCTGTACCCCAGTTTCCTCTACTTTATAAAATAAAGGACATTAATAAATAGGTATACTATTTCATAGTATTAGAAAGATTAAATGTTGAAAATAATAGTACCCACCTCATGCACTCATAAAATGTTACAATAATGTCTCACTCAAGTTATTAAAATTCCAATAAAAGCTAGTTATTATTATCATCATCATTAACATCATAACCATTATCATCAAGAACCTCGAATCTCTTGGGAAGAACAAGAACAGACCTTTCTTATTCCATTTTGTACACCTAGTGTAATAATACAAATTAAGTAAATATTTTTACTTTCATAATTTGTGTTTGTTTGCTTGCTTGGTTTTTCCACCAATAAATGTTTAGAGGGATGGAATTTGCTGGGGAGCCCTAGTCCTATGGCTTGGTTATCATTAACAGTAGAAATAATGTGAATTGACATTGGATCTACAGATATTGCTCCTCTGAGATTCTCTCTATATGCAGTTGGATTTCTCTGTTGTCCTTTGCTTCCACTCCCAGACCCTGAGCATATATTCATCTGATAATGTGTCCATTGCTAGCATCTCCAGATGCAACATTTTACTTAAGAGGAGAGATTCTTTCTCATAACAAAAGAACTGAATGCCTTCATCTACACTGCCCATGGGCTACCCTCACCCCTCCACAGCCTTTTTAGCCAATACAGAGAACTCTCCCATATTGAACTTGGACTTTTCCTGATATGTATGAACACAGATAATTCCTATTGAATATGCTATATGAATGAGTTCCAGAGAAAACAACTAAAGTACTTATTTTTTAAACATACCAATTCAGATTCAATAAAAGAAACAAGGGGACTATCAGCAGAAAGGACTTTTATGCTCTGACTTACAGTGTGCAAGACACTGGTCTTAAAAACAAAATGTTTTGGGGTGCTTGGCTGGCTCAGGGTGCAGAGCATGCAACTCTTGATCTTGGGTTATAAGTTTGAGCCCCATATTGGGTGTTGAGTTTACTTAGAGATAAAAATCTTAAAACAACAACAATAAAACACCAAAATATTTTAAGCTAAATCTTCTAGTATTAAATATTAAGACTATTTATCTTTTATGCTAAGTTCATAGATCATGCTTTATTTTAATTTTTTTAATGTTTTATTTATTTGTAGGAGAGAGAGAGAGACAGCGCGAGCAGGGGAGGGTCAGAGAGAGAGGGAGTCACAGACTGAAACAGGCTCCAGGCTCTGAGCTGGCAGTCAGCACAGAGCCCGACGCGGGGCTCGAACCCACGAACCGCGATATCATGACCCAAGCGAAAGTCGGACGCTTAACCGACTAAGCCACCAGGCGCCCCGATCATGCTTTATTTTAAACTGTAAGCTCATAGTCGTCTTCATAGATTACACAAAACTCTGTTAACTTGGATAATTCTTTGACATTCCAAGCATGAATTCTTAAAATAATGTGTGGCTTGCAAACTTAACTTAAAAAAGATCCCTCTGATTTCAGAGGCTGACAGGTTTATTAGAAGTTGAAGCTTGTCTACTCGGTAGAAAAACATAGCAGGAAAAGTGAGGGCAATGCTGAGTTAAAGGAGAAAATACACACCCTGTTCCATCCCCTCCCCAATCATGGCAGCGAGGTGTAAATGATATATGAAATGACAAATCCCTGGCCCAATGCCTGGGAAGAATATAAATACTGCTCTGTAATCACTGCAGTAATGTGATATTTGCTAAAATTTTCTGCTTACGTGAACCCAGAAAAACCTCCTATCACCTACAAACCAAAAAAAAAGAGGTCAACCCAAATGAAATTGTATTATTTTACTATATGTAACGTTGTCCGCTTTTCCCTCTTTTTTCTAGTCCTAACATATTTATTGACTATTAGCCATATTTATCAACTATTAGGATACGTAAGTATTACTGAGAAGTATGTCTAACAAAAACATATTTAAAAGTTTTTAAAGAGGAACTGTCAAAACACACATATAACACAGGATACCAGAAGGATTTTCCATTTCAGAGTCAACCAGACCTGGATTTGAATCTTGGTTCTGTTTGCATCTAGCTGTGTGATTTCACACATCTTCGTTTTAACTTCTCTGAGTTTTAATCATTTTCCTTTGTGAGATGGAGATAATATGTACTCACAATGTGAAAATTAAGTTTGAAGATTAAATGAAATAATATGAATCATATAAAGAATAGGGTTTGGCAAAATAGGGTATCTTTAAAATTTGGGTCAATTTTTTTTCCTTTCATGATGGAAATACCTGTTATGTCATAGAAAGAATGCTACATTTTGAACTGAAAGTCTTGGATTTTCATTTTTCCCTTTACAATTTATGAGACAATTCAGGTGACCTCTTTGAATAGATACTAGCTAATTTTTAAGGAAAATAGATATTATTTTCATTCTATAAGAAAAACAGATGATAATGTATACATTAAAATGATTAATAAGCAACAGGTATTAATACTATAAATTGACATATCTGAATAAAAAATATATACATATATAATATATAATAAGTTTCTACGAATCTGTTCTTTAGGGACATGAAAAACCACACTTGTTTTATTCTAAAATGATACCATCAGAATTTTGTTTTTGCTCAGTTTCTTCAAGGGCATATTTATTGGAAGAATCTCATAATAAACTGCAAGATGTCTTCAGAATGTGAAGGTTAAGGATAAGGTGTTGGAATTGGACTCCAGGACACCTGGTTTTACATTTAAAATCAAGCTGCAATTTCTCTTTTCTGTCTTGGTTTTCTCTCTGTAATTCTCAGCCCTAATTAGTTATGGAAGTTGATGTTGATTATTTACCTCCTGCCAGACCATCTTTTCTCTTTGCATCTACTGGTGCAAGTCACCCTTGAAAGAAAATTAAGGCTTCGGTCCCACTACATTTCAAACAATAGCTAAGAGTTTTGGAAAGTTTAAAATATTCTCCTAGTAGATAAGGTTACAGAAAGCAAACCAAGGCAGAGGAATTACCCCATGCCACTGATAAGAATCCACATCCAAGTTGCTTTCAAATGAGGTGACATTCCTATTCAAAAGCATAGCTTCATATGCATAAAAATTAGTTGATCACCAGAGGAAAATAATTTTTAAAATCTAATTTAACTCATTTAATAAGACCATGAACCAAAGAAAATGAAAGATGTCAAGAAAAAGAGAAAACATATCTCGGCCAATAGTAAGTTTCATTTCCTACTTAAAAATTAATTAATGCTTAGTAAGATTTGAAAAGAGAATGAGGCCAGTTCATTTTGATCCTGTGGCAATACTTTGAAGCTTACTTTTTAACCTAGTCTATTTTACATTTCTAGATGCTATGAAAGGCAATGTATGCAGAAAGCAGTACCAGTGGGGATTTGGGTATTTCATTTTCCCCACTGTAGTAGTGATTTGGATCTTACCTTTTCTGAAAGCATCTTTAAAGAATTCTTCAGGCTGTCTGGAGAATGCTGGCTTGCAGAGTTAAGCAGGAGGTCTGCATGGGTTGCTATCAGAGGTTGTAGTTGATTGATGTTGCTGAGAACTTCTTTTGCTTTGGCTGTGTTTTCAGGTGAATAGTAAATAAACTGGTATCCAGTACTGGAACAACAAAGATAAAGGCAAGTTACACAAAAAGCAGAAAGAATTAGCAGCCCTTAGTACCAGATGGCGAATGAGAAACAGAACTCCAAATAGCATAACTTCCCTTTGAACAGATAAGAACTATTCTAAGAGAATTTTATGATATCCTAAGAGTTTTTTTTTTTTTAAGTAAAATAACCAAGACATTTTTCAAGACCATGATTTTTTTTGGTAGTTTTTTAAATTTTAAATGTTTATTTATTTCTGAGAGAGAATGAGATAAAACATGAATGGGATAGGGGCAGAGAGAGAGAGGGAGTCATAGATTCCAAAGCAGACTCAAGGCTCATGAGCTGTCAGCACAGAGCCTGATGGAGAGCTTGAACTCATGAATCTTAAGAACATGACCTGAGCTGAAGTTGGATATTTAACTGACTGAGCCACCCAGGTGACCCTAAAATTTTTTAAGTGAAATAAATTCAGTTTTGCTCAACCACCAGGAAGATTCTTTATAATTACATATGTCAGGTATTACTATTCAAAACAAGTAATTGTTAATCGCTAATAAATTTGAAGTCACATTAGTATCCAAGTGAAAAGTATAAGCCTTTATATTCAGGCCAATCTGAAGGCTCAGCCACCTTCTAGCTAAGTGATCTCAGTCAGGCTTCAGTTTCCTCTTCAAGAAATTAGGAATAAATATACAAGAATTCTAAGAGGTAAGAAAGATTGACCATAATTCATGTGAAATGCCTAAGATAGTACCTAATACAGAGCAAGCATTCAATAACTATTACCTATATTTTCCCCCATGATACATAGGGCAGGGTTAGCAAATTTTAATAGCTGAGAAATGTGGAGAAAACAAATTAGTGCCAAGTGAGCATATGGAAAATTTTACTGTATAGAAAAAATATTTATGGCATAAAAATTTCATTATGCAATATTATCTCTACTCATTTTGTTCCTAGTAGTTTCTCATTTAACTTATAAAAAATCTAAAATTGATTACTAATTGAAGAGTAAGTGACTTTTATAATCATCATCTAAGAACTGGTCACGCATGCTATGGGAGTAAGGATTCCACAAAATGAAGGAATCTTTGGATTTGAGTCCAATTCCAATTTGGATTGGAATGGAAGGAGGCATTCCAGCAGAGAAAGGGATAAACCTGCCAAATACCAGCCAAAGAAAAATAAGACAGAAGTTCACATGGTGAGTGCAGCATTTGTTTGCATCCCTCTGCAGTCAACTGTCAAAGCATTTTTCATCTATCTTGCATTCTGTGTAGAATATTTATTATTTCGTCTACATTATCAAGTTAAATTGTTAAAATTCTCATTAACTCCATTTCTTACTTAGAAATATTAGAATCCAATAAGAAAAACTAACATCTAGGGAGCACTCTCCCTTTCTATTCACACTAATGATTTTTAGGGGAAAGTATCAGTTTCTTCAGGAAGATGACACTCCTTTTGTAAACATACAATGATTATTCCTATCATTGATTGATTGACTGATTTGTCACAATGATTAAAAAAAAAATCCTTGGTTGCTTGGACTATTGAGAAGCTAGGACAAGGATTTGATGAGGGGTACAGGTTTGTGAAGGCTCCGAAACACATTGCTAGTATATGACACAGGAGAATTAACTGTTAATTTCATACTAACAGACTTTTAAATTTCAGAATTGGGAGCTTAAAAATAAAACATGACTTAACTACTTATTATACATATTTCAATGCAAATTAAAGCAAATGATAAAGAACAATGGTGAGGAGGAAAAAGAAAACAATTGTCCTTGCCAATTATCTAGAACTCTTTCCGGCTCATTTGATCTCACGTGGGAGTGTACTAAGGCCTCTAACAAAAATCATGAACTGGGATATCCCCCTTACTCATCTGTACTCAGACTGGATACAAAGTTCAATCCACCACAGTCCGTAGGAAATCAAACAACCCTTTGTTATTTTTGCAAAGAAAACGATTATCCAAAGATATTGATGTGTCACTGAGGTGGGGATGATGTTTGATAAAACAGCAGAGAGAGACTTAACAAAGGCCCAACACAGAAAGTCATGTGCAGTAGCTGCTTGGTGGTCCCATTTCACAAGTCTGCTCTTCTGTCACAATTTCCTTTCTGGTGTCATCTTCTGGGTACTGACTGGCCTCACAGGGCTTACATCTTGGAAAGCAGAGTTTTGGAGGCCATGAGTAGACTTCCATCTTCCTCTTCACATAAGTGTCCTCCCTGAGGGAGTCATTCCTGCCTCTCATAATTCCCTCCCATGCAGTTTTTCTGACTCCTGTCTCCAGTCTTCCTTCTTTACTCATATCATACCTCCCTGAGAGCTCAGTTACTTTATTGCTGAATGTTATCTAATTTCATTATTGTTTTCTACATATTTCTTGCTCTGCAAATTCCTTTAGACTCTCCTCTCCAGCTGAGTCTACTACATATATTTTCCAGATTTATTTCTCACACGATCTTTCCACTATTACTAGTTCAGTGGTCCTCAAATTTTAGTAGGCATGTAATTCACTTGGGGACTGAGGAGAGAGCCTGGGATTTTGCTTAAAAAATGCAGATTCCCTGGCAACACTGAGAGATTCTGCCTCAGTGGGTTGTGGCATTTGTAACAACCATCTTAGGGAAAATCCTGATGCAGAGACAAAGCTGAGAACTTTTATTTTATTTTTTAAAAAACTTTATTTATTTATTTATTTATTTGAGAGACAGAGACAGAGACTGAGACAGAGAGAGACTGAGAACAGGGGAGGGCCAGAGACAGAGGCAGAGTGGGAGAATCCCATGCAGGCTTCGTACTATCAGCACAGAGCTCAACTCAGGGCTTGAACTCATGAACTATGAGATCATACCCCGAGCAGAAACAAAGAGTCATATGCTTGACCCACTGAGCCACCCAGGCACCTGAGCTGAGCACTTTTAGAGACACTGCTGGCATTGTTTCGGCTGTGAATCCCCTCTAAACCCTTGATCTTGCTACACAGTGACCTTAATAAAGGTTCTTTTTCTTATTCTAAGTCCCAAGTTCCTTATTCTTAATATACTATAATTTCCACAATACCCTTTCCAAGGCTATCTTTGTACTCCATCTTTATATCTAGCACAGGTAGTTTTGGTCCCTTCTCATTACCAGTGCTGCCTCCCCTCACTTTTCCCCACCATCCCTTCATCTTTTCCTTCTCAGCATACTCTCTTTCCTCATCTCTCTCCTCCAATCTCCCAGGTGGTGGGACATTACCATAACTCCTGCCCCCTGCTACTAAGTCAGTCTCCACTGGAGAAAATTTACATAGCAGCTGTTGGTGCTCTCAATTAGGTCACCTAATGATGAGCATCTTAGCTACTGAGGTAGAAAGATTCATTTTCCACAATGAAAGCCAATGTTGATGTCCAGGATGAAATAGTATGGTATGGAAAAAAATGTCACCACCCACAAAATAATTTTAAGTATACATAAATTTCCTCTACCTCTTCAGTGCCTTACTCTTTAAACATGTCATATATTTTAACAGTTATAGCTTTTTAAATGGGAAGTTATGAGTATAATTTAATTATCGAGATAAAAAGAATATAGCTAAACTTTATTTTATAGTGGTCTGAAATTTAAACTGAATCCAAACACTTGAATCAACTATCAATCAAACAAAACCAAAAAAAAGACAAAGTATTTGCTTGGACAAAAAAATTTTTATAGGATATAAGTGATATAGCAAATGATGGATAATGAAAATTGAAATTAATTTTGTAATATTTTTATTGATGAAATAGTGGACTAAAGTGCATATCTGTATATAGATACAGTTTAATATGTATCTATTTAATTATTATCGGTTTAATTAGAACATCCCACCCCCCATAAATCAGAGGCATGTACGTGTTGTTACCAGAAGAACCGTACTTTGGAGGTGTAAAGAAAAATAAATCACACAGTGAAATAATATTCATATTCATAAACGCTAATTGCTAACCAAAATATGACTAAAGCAATGATTATATTCTCCTAAGTTTATTTCACCTTTGTCACTTTTTGCTGGTCTTCTTTATCCCCCCACCTTCTAGTGTTGGCACTTTCCAAAGCTCACTCCTTAGGGTACTTCCTTTTTTTAGTCTCCAGGCCCTTCCTAAGTAATTTCATTTAATCTTGTGGTTTAAATACTTCAATTGTGAGGATTCCCAACTTCACATCTCTAGCTTAGACCTTTTCCCTGAACTCTAATTAACAACAAAAGCTCTCCTCTTGACAGCTCCAATTTATCAATTCCCAAACTGAGTTCCCTATCTGCTCCTCATTCTCAACAACCAGCTCTTCCTACATGCTTCCCCATCTTAGTTCATGGCAAGTCCGTTTGATGTGAGGTATGTTTCTTCTCTTCCTCTTTTACCTTTGTCCACTTTTATCTTTTTTTTTTTTTTGTCCAGAAAATTTCTGTCTTTTCCTTCAAAACATAAGCAGAACTCAATCACTTATTTCCACACTCACTGCAATGTCCCTGGTGCAAGTTGCCATCATCTACCTACAAACTGGTTTTCCCATCTCTGTCCTTACTCAAAGACACTGAAATCCTGGGCTTATGCTTAGGGTTGAAGGAGGCAGGGGACAGGTGAGGAGAGAGAAATAAAGCAGTTCTTCTTTAGCTTCCTGCCCACACTCAGATCCTGGGACTTGCTCTGCAACTTACCTTTGCCTTTCCTTCCCCATGCCCCTGCAACCTCCACTCCTTAACCATTTGCCCAACCAAGCCACTATTTGGGTAAATAGAGTCATGAAAGAATATAGATTAGAGATGATGAACAGTCAAGGAGGGGAAAGGAAAGGAAAAGATCAGGGGGGAGAGGCAGAGGCAGAAAACGGTTAAGATTGAGGAACATAGAAAAAAAATGCTATACAGTAATGTGCCTTGGCTCCTAGGGCAGAACTAAATCTCCAGAGAAAATTCTAAAGGCTATTTCTACTTATTTTTTTCCCAATTCAAGCACTACTTGTAAGAAA